TTCCCTCCCTCCCTCCCTCCCTCCCTCCCTTCCTTCCTTCCTTCCTTCCTTCCTCCCTCCCCCCTCCCTCCCTTCCTTCCTTCCTTCCTTCTCTTTCTTCCCTCCCTCCCTCCCTCCTTCCTTCTTTCCTTCCTTCCTTCCTCCCTTCCCCTCCTTCCCTCCCTCCCCCCTCCCTTCCTTCCTTCCTTCCTTCCTTCCTCCCTCCCTTCCCCTCCCTCCCTCCCTCCCTCCCTTCCTTCCTTCCTTCCTTCCTCCCTCCCTTCCCCTCCCTCCCTCCCTCCCTCCCTCCCTTCCTTCCTTCCTTCCTTCCTTCCTCCCTCCCTTCCCCTCCCTCCCTCCCTCCCTTCCTTCCTCCCTCCCTTCCCCTCCCTCCCTCCCCCCTTCCTTCCCCTCCCTCTCTCCCTCCCTCCCCCGCCCTCCCCCTTCCTCCCTTCCCCTCCCTCCCTCCCCCTCCCTCCCCCCTCCCTCCCTCCCTCCATTCCTCCCTTCCTTCCTTCCTTCCTTCCTTCCTTCCTATTTTGGGGCCACACCAAAGATTCTCAGGGGTAACTCCTGGCTCTGTAATCAGAAATTGTGGGCGGGGTGGGGGTGGAGAGAGAGAGAGAGAGAGAGAGAGAGAGAGAGAGAGGAAGGCTGGAGCAGGGGGAGGCAGGTGGGAACTGGGAACATTGGTGGTGGGAAATTTACACGGGTGAAGGGAGAAAAAAAATAAGAAAAAAAAATTTGCTCGGGGGACCCTGTGGGATGCCAGGGTTTGAGCGCAGGTTGACTATGTGCAACCCAACTCCTCACCTGCTGTACTATTTCTCCAAAGGGACCTTTTTACTGAGACCCCCACAAGAGCAGGAACCAGCCTGGATGCTGGTGAGCCTGCAGCCCCTCCCCCCCCCAACGCCCCCCCCACCCCTGCCTCCTCAGGACAAAGCCAGGGTGTAGAGTCAGTGACCCACTCAGCATGGTGTCGCCTTCTGCAACCCTAATCAGGACCAAGTGTGACCGCGTGCGTGTGTGTGTATGTATGTGTGTGTGTGTGTGTGTGTGTGTGTGCGCGCACATGTGGGCGCACACAGGCCAGGGAGTGGCGGAGGCCATACCCTAGAGCATGAAAAGCCCTCACCTCCTCCCCCATCTCGGAAGACCCCCGCAGCCTCGCGTCTCACTAACGGGCCCGGTCCCTGTCCAAATCTCCCTTCCAAGGCCCGAGAGACAGACAGTTCCACGGACTGGAGAATGCGTTGCATGCAGGAGGCTGGGATTTGATTTCCAACACTACATGGTTTCCCGAGGACCTCCAGGAATGACCTCTGAGCACTGAGCTGGGAGTAGCCCCTGAGCATCACCAGGTATTACCCAATGCTTCCCCCACTTCAGAAAAAAAAAGGGGGAGCAATAGGACAGGGGGGAGGGTGCTTGCCTTGCATGCAACTGACTCTGGTTTGATCCGCAGGACCCCACAGGGTGGCCCGAGCCTGCCAGGAGTAAGCCTGGAGCACCAGCGGGTGTGCCCCCTGCAGAGAGAGAGAGAAAGAGAGAGAAAGTTCCAGAGGCTTGGGAGATAGTAACGCAGGTAGAGAGACACAGGTTCTATCTCTGAGCGCCCCCTCCCCCTCCAAGGAGTGATCCCTGAGCACTGATCCAGGAGTCCTTCCAGAGTATACGGCTTGGTATCTCCCTGGGTTAGGCACTTGCCTTGCATGCAGCTGACCTGGGTTTGATCTCTGGCATCCCATATGGTCCCCTGAGCACCACTAAGAGTGATTCCTGGGTAACCCCCCCCCACCACCCCGGGCATCACCAGGTAAGATCCCAAAAACAAACAAGCAGAAAGGGAAATTCCCAGAAACCAGGGAGAGATGAATGAATGAAGTGATCAATGTCTGAGCCCTGCCTGGTTGCTGGGGCCTTAGTTATGGTGAACACAAGTGTGGCTTGTAGGCGCACGCGTCCATGTGCGCATGCGTGAGCTGTGGTTGGGGGGGGGAGAAGGGGAGGGGGGGAAGGGGACAGGGAGGGGGGAGGGTTCAAGATCTAAGAAATCCTCCTGCCTGGGGTGGGCGCAGCTTTCTGCAGGCTGGTGAAGGGTGAAATGGGGCTGGTGGGAGGTTCTGGCCGAACTGATAAGCTGCCTCTGAAAAGGCCAAGGTGCTGGGTGGGGTGGGGCAGTGGCTGGCGGGGGTGGGGGACACGCTGGGAAGGGGGGGGTGACAGTTTACAGTTTACACCCAGGAGAGGCCGAAACACTTCTAACACTTTGAGGATGAAGGAGGGTGGCCCCAGAGTCCCAAGTCCAGCTGCATTCTCTCCGCAGACAACCTGCGGGTTGTCTGCCTTCCAGAAACTTCCATGCCCCTCTTCTGGCCCCTGATGGTGCGTGCGTGTGTGTGAGATTGTGCTTCTGGCATTCCTCTTTGCAATCAGAAATGGGGGGTGCGGGACCCTGTCTCTCAGTGGGGGTCTTGGCTTGGGGTGGGTGCGCGGCTGGTCTGCTGGGGGTGTGCCCTGAGTGCCCGAGAGGCAGGTGGAGGAGGGAGGGAGGCTCCTGGTTGGCAGGGAGGAGGGGTGGGGTGGGGGGGGGCCGAGGCACCCCGGAGAACAAAGGCCACACAGTCAGGCAGGGGCGGGGGCGGGCAGGCCGTGGGCTGCCCTGAAGGGGCCCCTGGCACCAGGCACTGGTGGGCCTGTCCTTTGTGGGCACACCCCGGCCCCAGGCCTGGGCAGAAGTGCCACTTCCAAGAGCCCCCCCCCCTCCCCACTGACTTCTTGTCCTGGTGACTCAGGCCTCCCCCCCCAACCCCCCAGGGGAAGACAATGGAGGCCTCTGGGATGGCTGGCAGGTGCGAAGGCCAGGTGAAGAGGCCCCAGGGAGCGGCTCCAAGTTTCCTCATCCCTAGGCTGGGTTCAAGCCCTCCAGCAGGAGAACACCCTCTCTGCTGTCCTAAAAGGTGGGTGGGTCTGCTGCTGCCCACCCCCCCCCAGGACCGGGACTGGACAGACCCTGTCCTGTGCACTGTGCTTAAGCCCCTTTCCACCCCGAGCCTGGCAAACACCAGGAGCTCAGTAATTAATTGCTCTGTCTGGGAAGGGGGTGTGCCGAGGGTCACCATAGGAACGTGGCCCCCAACTCTTCAGTTTGACTTGGAGCATTGCAGGGGCAGGGAAGGGCTTGCACCAGCATGACAGGAAGCCCCAGGCCAATAATAGGGTGGGGGGGTGCGCCGCTGGGAAGCACCCCCACCCTCAGACCCAGATTTGTGGGCTTGTGGGTGGACACAGGAAGTGAGGCTAGGGGATGCCTGAATCTGCACCAGGTCTCAAGGACACAGCCGACTCAGCCCCTGCCCAGACACCCAGGGCTTCCCAGGCCGGCAGCAGGTGGGGGACCCCCAGGCCAGATCGAGAGTCAGCTCACATCCGGTACCCAGGAGGGTCCCTTCCCACTCTATTCCTGAGTCTTTTTGTTTGGGGGCTACACCCAGCCATGCTCGGGACTCATTCCTGGCTCTGTGTTCAGGAATCACACCTGGTGGTGTTCAGGGGACCATATGGGGTGCAGGGAATCGAACCAGGGTCAGCTGCTTGCAAGGGAAAGGCCCTACCCATTGTACTATTTATTTTTTTTCTTTTTCTTTTTTTGCACCACATTGGGCAGTGCTCAGGGGTTACTCCTGGCTTTGAACTCAGGAATTAGTCCTGGCGGTGCTTGGGGGACCCTATGTGATGCTGGGGATCGAACTCGGGTTGACCGTGTGCCAGGCAAATGTATAATGGCTCAGACTTCCCCACTGTAGTATTTCTCTGGCCCCTAGTAGGAGTCTTATCCACTGATCCCTCCTTTGAGAATCCCTTCTTCTTTGAACCTGGAAAGCTCCAGAACCAGGACACTGTGGCCAAGAGTTCAGCAGACAGGGGCGACCAAGCTTGCAAATGGGCGTCAACTGGTGCAATAAAGTAAAACAGGGAAGACACTTGCCTTGCATGTAGCCGACCCCGGTTCAATCCCCGGCCACCTTAGAGGCTTCCCGAAGCCCCCCAAGAGTGACCCCTCCTTGGCGCACTTAGCCAGGAGTACGTCCTGATCTCAGTCGGTTCTAGACCCCCCCCAAATCGGGTCCAAATAAGTGTAGATTTCCCTTCGCGGACTAAGGGCCTTGAAACAATGTTGCCTTTTCTGCCTGGAAAGCAAGTTACTTTCACTTATGACAAGGTATCCGGTCTCCTGTGAGAGGGGTCACTTTGGGTGTGAAGTGGTCACAGAGATGCAAAAGTCCCGTGCAAACTAAGGTCAAAGTTGTAGTGGGCACGCGAGGCGATGCACGCAGGCCAACAGAAAGCAGCAAGTCTAAGGGTTTGCACGCGGGAGCCTGAGACGCAGCTGGCCTCAGTTGTCCGCCGGTATAATGGGTCTGACTCATGCCCTGCAGGGTCTGACATGACCGCTCGCAACGTCCCGCACCTGGGGCCAGCTCTTAGGAGGAGCGCGGGGCCGTCGGGGCCGCCGCGGCCGCCGCCCGGGCCCGAGAAGAAAACTCGAGAGCCGCGGCTGCCAGCGCTTCTCGCGGCCTCTCGTTCCGAACGAGTTCCGCCTCTTTCCATGCTGGACTGCGCTGTAGGCGGGCCCTCGTCTCGATTGGCTGGCACCCGCGCCAATCCCGATTTCCCGCGCTCCGATTGGCCAGCTGCCGCTCGGCCTTATCTTTCCATCGCACGGTCCCGGCCCCGCTTGGCGTCATAGGTGCTGCGGCTCACCAGGCACGTACGCCTCCGCGCGGAGAGATAATCCCCGCCCTCTGTGCGCGCCATTTGGCAGACACTTTTTTTCCCTCTTCCGTCGCGGCGGGTGTCCTTCGCCCTCAAGCTCCGGGACGCGATGGGTTAGAGCCGCTTCCCGAGGGTCGCTCTCGAAGGGCTCGCCCAGGGCGCGGCGGCGGCGGCGGCGGCAGCGGCGGCGGCGGCGGCGGAGGGATCCGCGGCGCGGCCGGGAGAGGCGGGGCGAGGGCGGGGCCTGAAGGGGGCGGAGCCTGCGGGGCGCGGGGCGGGGGGCGGAACATGTCTCCGGCCGCAGGAAGATGAGGCAGCGGCGGCGGCCGCGGGCGTAGCGGGCCGGACCGAGCCGACCCAACGCGGCGGGCCGTCGGGCAGCGCGGGGCACCGCGCACGCCGCTCCGCCAGCCCCCGGCTCCTTCTCGTGCCCCGCGGCGCAGCGGACCCCACGGGAGGGGGCCCCGAGCCACGCGCGCCGCCACCCACGCGCGCGCCCCTCGGGGGGGCCCCCGGCCCGCGCCCCTTTGTCCGGGGGGGCCCGGTTCATGCCGCCGCCCCCCGCGAACTGCGGGCCCGGCCGCGCCGAGCAGGTAACCCCGCCGCCGCCGCCCACTCTCCTCCCCTCGGGCCCCCCGCGTGCGCTTTGTGCAAAGTTGACCCCGGGCCTCCCCGCGTCGTGGATGGGGGGGGGCGGCGCGGGGAAGTTGGGGGGTGCGCTCCCGCCGGGGGCCAGGCCGAGGGGCGGCGGCGGCGGCCGGCTGGGAGTCATTGTTCTCCAACTTTCCGCGGGGACGGGGTGCGGGGGGTGGGGGGGGCGCGCGGCGACGTGGAGGGGCCGCGCGCGCCAGGCCCGCGCCTCCCCCTCTCCTGCCCGGCCTGGCACTTGGGGAAACTTTGCGGGGCCGCCGGGCGGGGCCGCCGGGCCGGGCCGCCCAACTTGGCAGCGGAGCCCCCCCCGCCCCCCAGCCCCCGGGACCCGGCCCATCTCAGCGAAGTGGCGGTGGGGGATTCCTGGGGCGCCCCCTCCCCCCCGCCCCGCGCCACCCCGGGAGGGGTCCGGGCCGGGCTCCGGAGTTTGGAGGGGGCGCGCGGGAGGAGGGAGGGTTCTTTTGTCTGCTGCGCCGGGGGAAGGTGTCGGCGCGCTCTGTGGGCTCAGGTCGAAGAGCTGGGGGGCTGTGGGGGGCCGGGGGGGCCCGCGGGGGGAACATCTGCTCCGCGTTAGTGCGGGGAGCGGCGGCGGCTGGGGCGCGGGACGCGGTGGCGGCGGCGGCGCCCCGAGCTTCAAAGGCTCCCGGGCTGCGCGCCGCGGGCACCGGCTGCGGGGGGGGGGGGATTGGGGGGAACGGGGGGTGGAGGGGGTTGTGGAGGGGAGGGTTGGTTGGCTCTGCCCGGCCTCTCCGCCTTCCCTTCCCCCTTTCCGAAAGCAGAGCGCTTGGGGGGGCCGCCTTCTCTCCAAGTGGTCGCGAACTCCTTCGGAGTCCCCCAAAGTTCTGGTGACACCCCGCAAGACTTTCAGCTCCCCGAGAACCAGAGCTGTTTCGGTTCCCCCCCTTCCCCCTCTCCCAAGTCGCCCGTAAAATCGGTTTCAACTACCTCCACCAGAAAAGAAAAAGAAAAAAAAAAAGCAACAACTGGTTTCATATTCCTGTCCCCCCACCCCCCCCAAAAAACAGTCGGTTTCCACGCGTCCTTCCCCCCCACCCCCCGCCCCGCCCCGCTCTCCTTTAAGCAAGAAAAAACTTGGCGGGGGAGGGGGGGGGCGCGGGGCTTCCGTTTCACACCCCATCTCCAGTTGGCAAACAAAGAGGGGGGCTCCTCCGGGTCTCACGTGGGGTCTCCCGCGACCTCGGGACCCTCCGGGCCTCGCGGTGTTTCCTGGGCCGCCCCCACCCCTGGGGGGGCCCCCCGGGGAGGAGCTGGGGCGGGCGGGGGTGGTGGGTTGTGCCGCTAACTGCTCCGTCTTCTGCGGCTGGGACGGGGGGCCTGGCAGGTGGAAGTCCCCCAGCCCCCTTTAGCGGAATGGAGCCCCGTGGGGCCGTGTTGGGGGTGGGGATACGGAGGAGGGGGATACTCTGGTCTCGCGCGCCCCCCACCCCACTCCTGGGCGAGAGGCGAAGGGATGTTTTCAGAGTTGCTCAAAAATAATCCCCAGCTACGTGGTGACTTTACCACAGTCCAGGATTTTTGTTCAGAGTTTGCACCGCGTATTTTGGGGTGTGGAGGGTGGAGGGGGGGTCGTAAATGAGGACCTTGGCGGGTCCCGACCCCGCGCAGGGCCCACTGAAGTGGAGAAGTGGTGAGGGGTTTCCGCCCTCTGACTTGGGAGACTCCTTCGCTCTGAATTTTGGGGGGTGAGGGACCCACAAGGTGCCATGACAGCTGCTGGGGGAGGAGGGTCCACCAAATTTCCCGGGGGCGGGGCCTGGCCACCCCTCCCCATCCAGGGCGTGGTCTGCGCCGGGGGGCGGGGCCGGGCAGCAGCTCCCTTTAGGGGCGTGGCTTAGCCTGGGCCTGGTAGCTCCTCCCCTCCCGGGGCGGGGCCTGCGGCTGGAAATGGGAGCTGTGAAGCCTGGGGGGTGGGGCTGGGGTGGAGGGACGGCTCCCCCCTCCTCCCCCCTTTTTATCCTGAGCGCTGCAACTTGATCCCAGGGTGGTCGTCCTGGGAGTTTGGGGAATCCGTGTGAGCACAGATCCCCTGATTTTCCTCCCCCCCCCACACATCTCTATTGTTCAGCCTGGGACTCCAATCTCCCCACCGCCCAATTTTGGCGGCCTTGCCCCCACCCCAGGGACAGACACCCCACCCCTGCCCGGCATCAGCCCTCCCCATATCCCCCTGTGTGTGTCCCCACCCCTCTCCAGGTCCAGCTGTAGCCCAGCGGGCCCCCCAGCCCCCGCCCCCAGAGGATGAACCAGCCGCAGAGGATGGCGCCGGTGGGCACCGACAAGGAACTCAGCGACCTGCTGGACTTCAGCATGGTGAGTGCCCACCCAGGTCCAGCTGGCCACTTGCCCAGGTTCTGCCTGCTCCCCTCGGCACCTGTTCCTCCCCCCCCCCCCCCCGCCTGGGGGTCCCAGGCCCCCCTGGAGAGGCCTCCAGCTCCCGCCTGGGCATGACTGACTGTAACCGTGGCCTCGGCTTTCCCAGCTGTACAATGGGAACATTACCCAAGCAGGACCCTGAGGCTGGGCAGACACACCCCCAGTTCCCTCCATCCCGCCCGATCACCTCCAGGAAGCACTCCTGGGTGTGAGACAGCTGGGGCAGGGGTCAAGGGGCAGTTTTTTTTTTTTAAGTTGTCTGGTTGAAATCAAACCCCCTCTTGAACATGCATGGGGGGAATTGGCCAGACCTGCGTTTGCGGGGGGGCTGCTCGGTTTCCTTCGCTGTGCCTCAGTGAGCAGGGCTGTTTGTGTCAACGGCCAAGTCGCAGACCACTGGGCCGGAACCCAGAGGTGGGTCGGAACTCCAGCTTCCGCCCTGACTCCCCCAGAAGCTGTGAGGCTTTGCATTGAGGAAGCGGAGGCAGCCCGGGTGTGGAGTCTCCTGACAGAGAATACTCAGGGAGATTTTTTTCAGCCGCCTGGCCTTGAGAATTGTGAACTGAGTGTGACCCAGCCACAGGGGGTGGGGGGTACTACTCCCTTCACAGTGCTCCTGCCTCCTCCCCCTCCCCCCCCCCCCCAGAAAGCAGCGTTTGTTTCTGAGCTGACGAATCCTGGCCAGAACTAAAGCTGTCAAAGAAGCAAAGGAGACGGGGCATTTGCTTTGCACGCGACAGACCTGGGTTCAAGCCCTGTCATCTCAGATGGACCCCCGGAGCACTGCCAGGAGAAACTCCTGAATGCAGAGCCAGGAGTCAGCCCGGATCATCACCGGGTGTGACCCCAGACAGCCACCAAATAAAAGAAGCAGACGGGGAGGAAAAAGTGAGGGGTTAAGTGAGGGGCTCCCGTAATTAGAAAGCAAACCCTAGTGGGACTGAGGGATAGGACGGCGGGAGGACGTTCACTTTGCCCTCAGCTGACCCGAGTTCGATCGCCGGCTCCCCATAAGGACCCCTGAGCACTGCCAGGAGTGATCCCTGAGCACAGAGCCAGGAGTGATCCCTGAGCACAGAGCCAGGAGTCAGCCCTGAGCATTGCTGAGTGTGGCCCCCAGATTGAAAAAATAAATAAGTAAATAAATAAAGGTGAGTATGGGAGATATTGGAGGGCAGTTGGAGTCTGGGCTCCCCAGAATCACCAGGGCTGAGTCCTGAGCAGAGCAGCCTTGGAGGGGGCCGGGCTCGCCCTTGGGTGTGCCCATGGGGCGCTCTGGAGGCTCTGACCTCCTGACACTCAGCCTCGCCTTTCCCTTCTGGAAGGGTTTTTTTTTTGTGTGTGTGTGTGCAGGGGCCACACCCCATGGTGCTCAGGGCTGAGGTTGGTTTGTTTTCCTTTTGGTCACTCCCGGCAATGCACAGGGGTTACTTCTGGCTCTACACTCAGGAATCATTCCTGGCGGTGCCCAAGGGACCATATGGGATGCTGGGAATCGAACTCGGGTCGGCCGCATGCAAGGCAAACGCCCTCCCCGCTGTGCTATGGCTCCACCACACAGGGCTGACTCTTGGCTCTGTGCCCAGGAATCACTCCTGGCGGAGCTCAGGGGAGCTTATGGGATGCCGGGGATCGAACCTGGGCTGGCTGTGTGCAAGGGTGAACGCCGTCCCCACTGTCTTTCCACTCCAGCCCTGGAAGGCCCTTCCGAGGGGTGTTGTGGGGGACCCTTGACTGCAGTCCCCCCTCCCATGAGGGGGAGGGTCCCGATCCTGTGGGTGGTGGGCGGAGGAGTGCCGGCTGTCTGGGAGTTGCCTGGACCAGGCAAGCGTGGGGGGCTGTGGATTGCTGGCGGACCCTAACCTCTGACCTCCCCTGCCCCCCCCAGATGTTCCCGCTGCCCGTGCCCAATGGGAAGGGCCGGCCTGCTCCCCTGCCCACTGCCCAGTTCGGAGGGTCAGGTAGGTTTTGCATCGGGTGGGGGGGTGTCCGGGCTGGGTTGAAAGGGTCTGGGGTATGGGGTGGTGGCGCGAATAGGGACCCCGTGATTCCCACAGAGATGGGGGCTCCATCCCTCAGCAGGGGGAGCCCCCAGTCCTTGCCGTATCCTGCCCAGCTCCTGACGTGGGGGGCAGGTCTGACTGAGGTGCCCACTGGGCTCACCTGGGCCCCCGGGAGTTGTTGGCTCAGGGACTCGGGTCTCTTGCCTGTCACATCACATGACGCGCAGGGAGGAGGGCAGGGCCTGTCCTGTCCACCTTGGGGGGGTGTTGGTATCCTCACTGCCTGCCCAGGGCCTGGGTCCTGCCCCCAGGCCCTGACCCTCGGCGGGGCGTGCGGTCCTGGGGAGGGGGGACTGATCGGGGTGCTCTGCCCTGGTATCTCGAGTCAGGCCTGCTGCGTCCCCTGGGGGTGTCCGTGAGCAGTGGCCGGAGGGGAACTGGAGGGGGTCAGTGATTGCCACCCTCTCTCGTCCCCGCCACCTCCATGCCCTGCTTTGCCCTCTGTCATCTGGGGAAGTGACCGTGGGGCTGTCCAGAGCCTCTCTGACTGTGGAAATCCCCACTGACTTCCGCCCCCTCCCCCCAACTGCCCCCCACAGCCCCCCAGATGCTGCCACTTCCCTGCCCAAGAGAGAGTCAGCCCTGAGGGCTTCCTGGAGGAGGGGACCCATTGGACCCTTCTTGCCCAGCGTCCCCTCACCAGGCCAGTGCTGGTGACCTGCCTTCAGCCCCTCACAGCTGGGCTGCATTGTGTTCCTGGGTGTGTGTATGGCAAACAGTGTGTGTGTGTGTGTGTGTGTGTGTGTGTGTGTGTGTGTGTGGCGGGGGCAAGGGGGGCATCAGAGACACCAGGAACCTCCCCTGGGCCTCAGCCTCCTCCAGGTTCCGGGTTGCCCCACTGCTGGGTGTCCTGTCTCTGCCTCAGGGGCTCCTGCCTCGATGACCCGCTGTCTGAGGTCAGCCGGGAGTTACTCTGTCTAGGTTCGAGGGGTCCCCCTGCCTTGCTGAAAAGTTGGTTTCCCGCAGGCGGAAGGGACTGTGTCCCCCAATAGAAAGCTTGAGCTCACACTGTATGTAGGAGCCCGCGGGTCTGAGCCCCTGTACTGCCGGGAGGGCCCCCAGCCCCAGCTGACTGTTCCCGGGAAGCACGATGAAGGTTGAGATACGACAGAGCAGAGAAGGGCTTGAGAGATAGTATTGGGGTGAGCCACTTGCTTTGCTTATAGCCGATCACTCCTGACAGGGCTGGGGAGACCCTATGGGGGCCCGGGGATCAAACCCAGCTTGGCTGGGTGCGAGGCCAGCCCCTCGCTGCTGTCTCATCTCTTCAGTCAAGTATATATGTATTCCTCCTTTTCTTCCTTTCTTTTTTTTTAACTTTTGGGGTCACACCCAGTGATACTCAGGGGTTACCACCTAGCTCTGCACTCAAGAATCACTTCCTGGGGCTGGAGCAATAGCAGAGCGGGTAGGGCGTTTGCTTTGCACGCGGCCAACCCGGGTTCGATTCCCAGCATCCCATATGGTCCCCCGAGCACCACCAGGAGTAACTCCTGAGTGCAGAGCCAGGAGGAACCCCTGTGCATCGCCGGGTGTGACCCAAAAAGCAAAAAATAAAAAAAGAATCACTTCCTGGCAGTGCTGGAGGGACCCTATGGGATGCCGGGCATCGAACCCGGGTTGGCGGCGTGCGAGAAGGCAGATGCCCTCCCAGCTGTCCTGTCTCCCTGACCCTGTCTTTTTTTTCTTCCCTAGTTTCTTTTCCACTTTGTCTTCTCGGGGGCCACTCCCAGCTCTGCTTGGGGCTGGCTCCTGGCTCTGTGCCCAGAGCTCGCTCCCGGTGGGGCTCTAGGGACTTGTCCCAGTGCCCGGGATTGAACGGGGCTGGGGCTTGGCCTCGTGCCAGGCGAGCACTTTCCCTGGCCTTCTCTCCCTGCAGCCCTCCGGGGGGCCCATCGAGTCCCGCGTCTAGGTCTCGCCCCTCCTCTCTGCTGTCCCAGGCGCCTGTGACCCCTCACTCCTCGCTCCTCACCCCCTCGGCCTCCTCCACACCTTTGAGCTCTACCCTGCTCCCCAAACCCTCCTCTCTGGAACACTCTGCGAAGCCCAGCCTCTCCCCCCGCGCCCCTGCCTTGGTCCCTGGGAAACCCCATTCCCTGCACATATCCGCCCCCTCCAGCCTGGCTGCCTTCTGCCCTCCTGCTGTTTCGGGTGGTGGCTGAGCACATCGAGAGGTGCCCGGGGGACCCTGCCATGCTGGGTGTGGAGCCTGGGGCCTCCTGGTATGATGCCCGTGCCCACTGCGCCTGGCATCCTGCTTGGGGACCTCTGTGTGGTGTCTGTCCGGGTCCCCGGTCCCCACAGTCTCTACTGGCTGCTTCCACTGACCTTCACTCTGAGTTTTTTGTTTTTTGGGTCACACCCGGCGATGCTCAGGGGTCTCACCTGCCTCCTCCTGCGGGGTTCCTGGGTCCCCACGCCGTGAAGGAGGGACCCTTCCGCCCTGTGGGGGTCAAGACATGACCCGCGGTTTGTCAGCCGGGCCTTCTGCGTCACCCCCCCCCACCCCCGCCCCTGGGTCCCCTGGTTGTGACTTGGCCCTGTGGGGGGGGGGGCTTAGGGTCTTTCCGAGCCTGGTGCAGCCCTGTCCCCATCCCTCCCCTTCCCCCTATGCCCGTCGCCTGCCCTGCCCGCTACCTGCCCTCGGTCAGCCCCGTCTCTGCCCCATCAGAGACCGGAGGGAGGGGCCCGAGAGGCAGGGCAGCGGGGAGGGCACTGGCCTTGCACGCTTGGCCCCGGGTTCCATCCCCGGCTCCCCATCGAGCCCCAACCCTGCCCGGAGTAGTCCCCGCACCGGGTGCAGCCGGGAGGAGATGCGGAAGGTGGCCTTCCTGGCCAGTGTCTGACTCCGACTGGCCACAGCTTGCCCGGGCCCCCAGGGCCTCTGTCCCAGCGCAGTGCTCCCAGGTACTTGGAGCTTGCGTGGGGGACACGGGGGTACACACTGTGCCCCAGGCACCACACGGGCCCCCCCAAGCCCGGCACCTCCAGCAGGGGTCTGAGAACCACAAGGAAGGGCGACCCTGACTCCTTGGGGGCCTCTGGCTGTGTGAGACCCCTCTGCACTCTGTTCTTTGAAAGGGGCTGGGGATCCCCCGCAGTTGCGGTGGGTATGGCTGTCCTTGACTCCTTATCACGCGTCAGTGTGCTAACCCCAGAGTCCCCAGTTTTCCAGCAGTACCCCCTCACTTTTTTTTTTCCTCTTTGGGTCACACCCAGCGATGCTCAGGGGTTCCTCCTGGCTCTGCACTCAGGAATCGCTCCTGGCAGTGCTCGGGGACCCTATGGGATGCTGGGAATCGAACCCGGGTCGGCTGTGTGCAAGGCAAACAATGCCCTACCTGCTGTGCTATTTTTTTTTTGTTGGTTTTTTTTTTTTTTTCAATTTGATTTTGGGCCAGACCCAGCAGGGCTCGGGGGATCCTACGGGGAGCCGGGCATTGAACCCCGGTCAGCTACATGCAAGGCCGGCTCCCTCCTCGATGTCCTTCCGCTCTGACCCTCCCCCCCTCCCCACTTCAGTCCCGTAATGGAACAGGGAGAAATGACTCCTGGGGTCTGGCGCAGAGCTGGAGCTGTGTGGAGCCATTGGCCAAGGCCTGGCCTGGGAGCTGACGGGGGCACCCAGCCCCCTAGGCAGGCCGCTGATGGCCACCTGGCGTGCGGCCCGTGCCTGCCCTCTCTGCTGTGGGCACACAGGCCGATGAACACGATTCCCTCAAGGAGGTACGGGGGGCCCAGCCTGAACCCTGGGACCCTCACCGATGGCCCCCATAGTCCCAGCATCGCGCAGCCTCTGTCTTGGTTCTGTGGGTGCCTGTTAATTACTGCCCGGCACAAACATTCATCTGCAGGTTATTAAGATGCATAATTAATCGGGGAGGGGGCTTCCATAACTGTTCTGGGGTAGGGGAGGGGTTGGCGTTACCACTTCGGGGGCCGTCTGAGGGGGGTTCTGGGGATCTGTGGGGGTGGGGTCCTTGCAGCCAGCCTTGAAACCGTGCTGACAGGGCTTTGGCTCAGGGAAACTGAGGCTGGGCCTGTTGGTGCCTTACCCAAGGCCCCCCACCACTCACCCCTCCACCACCTCTAAGTCAGGGACAAGTGGCATCGGGCATTTTGGGATCAGGCCCCCCCCCTTGGATTCCCAGAGACTCCAGAACCCCCCTCAGGCCCCCTATCTTCCAAGGCTGCACCCCAGCCCCCTCCCCTCCTCCCTATAATCACGCTGGAAATTTTTGATTAGAAAACAAAAATCTAAATGAGGTGTATGAATATTCATCAGGTGCCATGATTAATATGCATAATTATGTAAATCGGGCGGCAATTAAACACGGATTCTCCAGGGGGGAAATGATTAACACAAAGGCACTGAAATAGAAAGAAGGAGCCGTGGGGGTGGGGGGGAGCAGTTTTCTAGTGTGTGGGGGGTGGGGGTGGCCAGGGCAGGGGCCAGGAATAGCCTGTGGGGTCTGTAAGCCCCCACCAGTGGGGTCTGTTCGGATCCTTCTGTGCAGGGAGGGAAACCATGGCACGGGGTGGGGGGCGGATGCGTGTGCAGGAGCAGAGCACCCCCCAACCCCAAGGCCTCCTGTCTGCTCTGGAAGATAAGGCCCCACCCAGTCCTGGCTCTCAACGCCAGGAGGGCGAGCCCTGCCCCCTCTGGGACCCTGCATTCCTCTCTGTGGGACTCAGAATCGGTTCTTCCTGGAGGGTGTCTGTGGCATCTGGGCTGTGTTGCCCACACAGATGTTGATGCCACTGCCAACTCCCGCCCTCTCTCTCTCCCCCCCCCCGCCCCCATCTCCCGCCTCCCTTTTCCCAGGATTCGGGCAGGCCCATTGGGAACTGCTCTCTGGGGACTCTGCTGGGATGGCGGGGCATGGTGGCTGGGGTTCGGAGGGTTGGGTAGGGGTTTGCTTGCCAGTGCCAATCCTGGGCTGAGAATGATGGGAGTTGGGGTGTGACAGAACACCAGAGTAACTGGGGTACTCTGAGCTGGGGACCTGCCTGTGCTGGTCGACCACAATGTGGGGGTCGGGATGTGACCTTGGTTCTTCTCTTCCTGCTCCACAGCTCTGGAGGACCGGCCCAGCTCGGGCTCCTGGGCCACCGGAGACCAGAATAGCTCCTCGTTCGACAGCAGCCGGGTGAGAAGGGCTGCCAGAGCCTGTGTCCCCTTGGGTGGGGGGGCCATGAGGATCCCGGGGCTCAGCCGGCCTGACCCCCGAGACGCCCTCCCCCCAGCCGAGCAGGGCGGGGTTGCGGGCAGCCCCCCTCACCAACCCGTTTCTCCACAGACCTACGGAGCGGGCGCCCACTTCAGCGAGACCCCCAGCAGCCTCCCTTCATCCACATTCCTGGGCCCTGGGCTCAGCGGTGAGTGACTGTCCCTGGGCTGGGTGGGGGCAGAACAGGGGTGCTCTGAGCCCCTCTTCCTGCCGGGTTGGTACGGGACTGGCCGGACACACCTCAGATGTCAACTCAGCAGTCCTAAGGGGACAGTGTGCTGTCTCAGGGTGGGGGTGTCAAGAAGGGGGGAGACTCCGCCCCTGGCACGGGGGCCAGCTTCATTCTCGATCACATGGGTCACGGCTCACTTCCGGGAACTCCTTGGTCTGGCATAACCCCCAGAGTCCCTGGGGGGTGGGGGGTGGGTGGGAGGAGGCTGTCAGGGCTTAATTTTTTTTTATTTTGATTTTTGGGTCACACCTGGCAATGCTCAGGGGTTCCTCCTGGCTTTGCACTCAGGAATCACTCCTGGCGGTGCTCAGGGGACCATATGGGATGCTGGGAATCGAACCCGGGTTGGCCGCGTGCAAGGCAAACTCAGGGCTAATTTTTTTTTTTTTTTGGTCAGGGAGGTGGGGAGGGTCACACCCAGCCATGCTCAGAGCTCTGTGCTCAGGGATCACTCCTGGCAGTGCTGGGGGACTCTAGGGGGTGTCGGGGAGCAAACCTGGGCTGGCCACGTACAAGGCAAACACCCTCTCCGCTCCCCTATGGCTCTGGCCCCTAGTGTGATGTTTGGTTTTGTTTGGGGGCCACACCTGCTGGTGTTCAGGGATCATTCCTGGCTCTGCGCTACGGGGTCACACCCGGCAGGGCTCTGGGGGACCAGACGCGATGTTGGTCATTGGGCCGGGTGAGCTCCGTGCGGACCCACGTCCTCCCCACTGTCCTGTCACTCTGTCCCTCAAGTCTCTGGCATTTTTTTGGCGGTGGGGGAGGGGAAGGCAACAGCCAGCGATGCTCAGGGGTTCCTCCTGGCTCGGCACTCAGGGATCACTCCTGGGGGTGTTTGGGGACCCCATGGGATGCCAGGAATCGAGCTTGGGTCAGCCGCGTGCAAGACAAATGCCCTACCCGCTCTGGCCTCGCAAGTCTCCTTTTGTAATTTTGAGGCCGCACCTGGCAGTGCTCAGGGCTGACTCCTGGCTCTGTGCTCAGGGATCACTCCTGGCGGTACTTGGGGGACCGTATGGGGTACCAGGGATTGAATCCAGGTTAGCCGTGTACAAGGCCCTTGCCACTGTGCTGTCTGGGGGGAGGGGGGACCCAGCCCTGCCCTGGGGTACCCTCTGCCCGCGGTTCCCCTGGTCTCTTCCCCTTGCCTCTTCCCACGGTCAGTTTCTGCGGGGCCCCAGTGCCCGGTCCACCTGCCGGCTGTCCCCTGCACCCTTCCCCGGAACCCCAGCTTCCCCTCCCGGCCGCCCCACTTCCGGCCCGTACTTGGTTCCTGTAGCCGGGCCCAACCCACGGGGTACTTGCGGTGGGGTCCTCGGGCTGCTCTGTGTGGCGTCCTAAGTCCTGCCGCCCAGGAGGACACAAGGGGTGGGGTTGGGGCGACCCCCAGCCCTGGCACGGCGCGGCGCCGGGCAGGGTCATCCCTCCCTGGAATCCACACTGCCCGCCCTGGGGGTCCTGTGTGCCCCCAGCCCACCGGTGGCTGCAGCGTCGGGTCAAGTTCAATTAGAGTCAGGCCCTCAGGGCCGGGGCGGTAGGACAGCCAAGAGGGTGCGGGCCCTGCACATGGCCGGCCAGGGTCCCATCCCCAGCTCCCCATTGGGTCCCCCGAGCACCGCCAGGTGTGCCGGGGAGGACCACACCCGGCAGTGCTGAGCGCAGCCAGCAGTCTGCCCTGAGCACTGCCGGGTGTGGTCCTTTCCCCCCCCCGCCTCCCCCCCAAAAAAAGATGATTCAGCAAGAGAAGTGGGTAGTGTCTGATCCTGGCCGTGGGTCGGGGTGGGGAGCGGGTGCAGGAGGCCGCTCACTTCCCTGCTTCCAGAGCTGACCCGACAGACTTGCTTCAGGCGAGGCTGCATCCAGGCGCCCACAGCCGGGCTCCCGCTGCGGTCACACTTGGTCACTTGGTTCTGAGCTGACCCTGGCAGAAGGGTCCAGAGCTCTCTGGGTCCGGGCTGGGCCGGTGGTGGGGGCCTGGCAGCAGGCAGGCGGGCAGGATGGAGCGTCTGCGTCTGCCCGCGGCCCCGGGGACACCCTCGTCAGCGTCCCGTAACCTCGTCTCACCCACAGGCAAGGGTGGCGAGCGGGGCGTGGCGTACCCCGCCTTCGGGAGAGACGCGGGCGTCGGCGGTCTGACCCAGGTGAGGCTGAGACTCTGGGGTCGGCTGCCTGTGGGCAGCGGGTGGGCGGCACCCCCACTGTCTGGGGTTGCGGGGGTGGGGGGACCCTCACTTGGCTCCTTGGGGGCTCCTTTATCTGCCCTTTAGCCTTGGTCCGAGGGGGTCCCCCAGGGGGTCCTGGCAGAGTTCTGTCGCTTCCTGTTCCTGGCGGTGACCCCCGAGTCTGCCGGATGGTGGGATCCCAGATGCCGGTGGGGTTGTGGGGGGCGGGGTGCAGACCCCTGCTGACGCCCCGTTCCTGCTGCAGGCCGGATTCCTGCCCGGTGAGCTGGCCCTTAGCAGCCCCAGCCCCCTGTCCCCGTCGGCCACCAAGGGAGGCTCCCCCTATTACCCGTCCTACCCCCGGCGGAGAGCCGCGGACGGCGGTCTGGGTGAGTGGGCCGGGGGGGGGGGCGGGAGGGTACCCCAGTGATGTGCTGTCTTTGCACCGGATAGCCTGGGTGCCCCGGTGCAAGTTGGGGGTGCCCTGGCTTGGGGCCGGCCCCGGGGGCGGGCGGATCTCCAGGGGCCTGTGGGCAGGGCAGTCCCAGCTGTGGGGACTGACCTCAGGCCGCCTCTCCCCATCTTCTCCCCAGATGCTCAGCCCAAGAAGGTCCGGAAGGTGCCTCCCGGCCTGCCATCCTCAGTAAGTTGGGGCAGCCCCCGGCAGGGACTCCCCCCCCCCCCCATGCCTCCATCCCTGGGCAGCCCCCCGCAGGGACCCCTGTGCCTTCATCCCTGGGTTTGCCTCCCAGGCCTGGCCAACATTGCCCTGAACTTGAAGCGGGGTGGGAGGAGGGGGCCGGGCCTTTTCGGCTGGGCTTTGACATCTGTGTAGGAGTTTTCCGGGCACTAGCTCCCCTGGGCCGGGACATGGTCCCGGGTGGACCCGCTCAAGAGGGCCCTCCTGCCTGACCAGTGTGTCCCCCCTCCAGGTGTACCCGCCCGGCTCAGGTGATGACTTCGGCAGGGACCCCGCCTACCCCTCGGCCAAGACCCCCAGCAGCGCCTACCCCGCCCCCTTCTACATGCCAGGTGCATGGTGGGGGGGGTGTGTGTGGGGGGAGGGGTGCAGGCGGGGGTCCCTGGGCCCGCCCACCTCAACTCACCTCCTCCCCTCTCACAGATGGCAGCCTGCACCCCTCAGCGGAACTCTGGAACCCCCCAGGCCAGGCGGGCTTCGGGCCCATGCTGGGCGGGGGGTCGTCACCCCTGCCCCTGTCCGCGGGTGGCGGCAGCAGCTCCGTGGCCGGAGGCGGCAGCGGTGGTGGCGGCAGCTTCGGGGGTCTGCACCAGCACGAGCGCATGGTAGGCACCGAAGGCAGCTGGGGAGCTGGGTGGGGGGGCGCACCCCAGACCCCGCTGACTGCACCCCTCTCTCTCCCTCCCCTACCCCCCTGCAGGGCTACCCACTGCACGGCGCCGAGGTGAACGGGACTCTCCCGGCCGTGTCGTCCTTCTCCTCCGGGCCCCCCGCCTACGGCAGCGTCTCGGGCCACACGCCCCCCGTGAGCGTCAGCGGGGCCGACGGCCTCCTGGGTACGCATATGTGTAGGCCCCTGGTCAGTGGGGGATGCCGGGCAGGTCCCAGCGGGGTGGGCCTCACCTCCCTCCTCCCACAGGCTCCCGAGGGACCACGGCCGGCAGCTCCGGAGACGCCCTGGGGAAGGCGCTGGCCTCGGTGAGGCTGAGGCGTGGGCACAAGGGAGTGGCGGGGGTGGGGTGGGGGCTGGGGGGTGGGATCAGCCTCCTGACCCCCAGGCCTGTTTCTCTCCCCGCTGCCGCTCCCAGATCTACTCTCCGGATCACTCAAGCAATAACTTCTCCTCCAGCCCCTCCACGCCTGTGGGCTCCCCGCCACAGGGCTTGGCAGGTCTGTGCCCGGGTCCGAGAGTCGGGGGCGGAGGATGCTGCGGGTACCTTCAGATTTCAATACGTGGGTGGGTGGGTGGGCAGGGAACAGTCAGGCTGTTCTAAGGTCAGAAAGCTGAATCTCCGGGCTGGAGCGATAGCACAGCAGGTAGGGCAGTTGTCTTGCATATATGTCCGGCCCCGGTTCGATTCCCAGCATCCCATAAAAGGTCCCCCTGAGCACCACCAGGAGTAATTCCTGAGTGCAGAGCTAGGATTAACCCCTGTGCACTGCTGGGTGTGACCCCAAAATAGAAAAAAAAAAAAAGCTGAATCCCACCACATTGCGGGTTCCTGCTTCTCTTGGCATCCAGGAAGGCTGCTTGGAGGAGGTGGCCTCGAGCTGTGTGGCTCATAGCCAGAAGGCCGGCTTGAGCCAGCTATGTGTGTGACGAGGGGGGCTGATGGGCTCTGAACAGCATGTGCCAGGCACCAAGCGTCTGCTCTGAGTCCAGTCCAGCCCATGGGATAGACAGGGGGGGTGCAGGGGCCCTGAGAGCAAAGGGGTCTAGAGGCCAGGGCTCCTTTCTGTGGGGTTCCAGCCTTGCGTTCTCGGGCGCCCCCGTGTGGCCATTCCGTGCCCTGCAGGCGCGGTGAAGACTTAACTGCCTGGTGCCCCCAATTTCACTGACCTGGCTTCTTCTGACCTTCATACACCCCATCTCCTTCCCAGGGACATCACAGTGGCCCCGCGCGGGAGCCACCGGTGCCTTATCGCCCAACTATGACGGGGGTCTGCACGGCCTGGTAAGTGTGGCTCAGCGTTTGTGGAGGGCGGGGGTACTGTTAGCAGCTAGGCCAGACCAGCACTGACATGTCAGCCCTGGCTGTAGGTGCTTTAAAACCATGACCGGGGCCTGGAGCGATAGCACAGCGGGTAGGGCGTTTGCCTTGCACGCAGCCGACCCAGGTTCGATTCCCAGCATCCCATAGGGTCCCCCAAGCACCACCAGGACTAATCCTGAGTGCATGAGCCAGGAGTAACCCCTGTGCATCACCGGGTGTGACCCAAAAAGCAAAAAAAAAAAAAAAAAGAAAAGAAAAAAGACAGCAGGGAGGCCACTGGCCTGGCACAGGGCTGACCCGGGTTTAATCCTAGACATCCCAAGAGGTCCCCCAGTCCCCGCCAGGATTAATTCCTGAGTGCAGAGCCTGGAGGAACTCCTGAGCACCGCCCACCGCCGCGTATGGCCCCAAAACAAAAAAATAAAAATAAATATGACCGTGATCAGGTTGCTGGAGAGATGGCGCAGTGGGGTGGGCTCTTGCCTGGCACACGGCCGTCCTGGATTTGATTCCTGAGCACAACCAAGTATGGCCAAGGGGTTGGAGCGATCGCACAGCGGGTAGGGCATTTGCCTTGTACGTGGTCGACCTGGGTTCTATTCCCAGCATCCCATATGGTCCCCTGAGCACCTCCAGAGTGCATGAGCCAGGAGTAACCTTTGTGCATCGCCAGGTATGACCCAAAAAACCAAAATAAACAACCAACCAAGTATGGCCAAAAACGTAAATAAAAGGCCAGGGCCTGAAGGGAAAGGACAGGATGGGGATAGGGTTAGGGTCAGGGACTTGACTGGGGGTTCCTGACACCACCTCAGTCCCTGGCACCAAATGGGGTTCCCTGAGCCCCTCCAGGCATGATCTCTGAGCACAGAGCCAGGAGTGAGCCCTGGCACCGCTAGTGTGGCCCCTTTAAACAAAATTTTAAAAACAGGACTCAGGGCTAAAGAGATAGTACAGCGGGGAGGGTGTTTTCCTTGTCTCCCGGCACTCCATATGGACCCCTGAGCCCACCAGGTATGACCCCTTAGTGCAGCCGGGTGTAACCCACCCCAAAAAAAGTAAACCAAAAAAAACCCCACTCAGAGCCAGGCCCAAGCAGACAGAGCAGAACAAATGCCCCGCATTGTCCTCTCACAGAGCAAGCTGGAGGACCACCTGGATGAGGCCATCCATGTGCTGCGCAGCCACGCCGTGGGCTCAGCTGGTGACCTGCACGGGCTGCTGCCTGGGCACGCGCCGCTGGCCTCTGGCTTCCCAGGCCCAGTCCTGCCTCTGTCTGGGCGGCACACGGGGCTGGTGAGTGGGGGTGGCACGGGGGCGGGGCCTGATGAGTGGGGCGGGGCAGGGGCGGGACCTGAGAGTGGGCGTGGTTTGAGGCGGCTGTGATTGGTGGGCGGGGTCAGTGAGCGGGGCGGGGCTTGCAATTGGGGGCGGGGCACTCGAGCTGGGCGGGGGTTATTCTGCTCCCACGCTGAGCCCCTTTCTCACAACAGGTGGCAGGTGGTCATGCGGAGGACAGCCTCTCCGGCACTGCCAGCCTCGCGCACAACCCTGTCGCCCTGCCCAGCCAACCCAGCGCCCTGCCTGACCTCACCCGGCCCCCTGACTCCTACGGCAGTAAGTGAGCCCCGCTTGTCCAAGGGGTTACCCCGCACCCAGCTCAACTGGTCCAGTGTAAGGAACGGGGCAGGGGCGGGTGGGGATCCCGCAGCGGTTGCCCGGGGCTCTCAGCACCCCGCCTGCCCAGGGCTCCTGGTTCAGCCGAGGAGACGGGTACAGTGGGAGCCCGTGCTGGGGGGCTGACTGCTGTGGTGACCCGGTGTTGGGGTAGGGATTCTGCCCGGGTGCAGAAGACCCTTGGCAGTGGAGGCGGGTTGGGGGTTGGGTAGAAGCTGGGAGAAGAGTGGGACTGGCCTGAGGGAGAGGGTTGGGCAGTTGGGGGTCAGACAGGCTCCATCCGGGTTGGAGTGATAGCACAGTAGAGAGTGCGCCCATCTTGCACCCAGCTGACCTGGGTTCAATCCCTGGCATCCCATATGGTCCACCAGTACACCACCAGGAGTACTTCCTGAGTGCAGAGCCAGGAGTAACCCCCGAGGGGCTGGAGAGATAGCACAGCAGGTAGGGCGTTTGCCTTGCACGCGGCCGACCCGGGTTCGATTCCCAGCATCCCATATGGTCCCCCGAGCACCGCCAGGAGTAACTCCTGTGCATCACTGGGTGTGACCCCAAAAGCAAAAAATAAATAAATAAAGGCTTCATCCAACATCCTGGCAGCTCTGTGGGGGGCCACACCGGAAGTCACAGGGCCCCTGGCAGCCCTAGGAGAAGTGGGGGTCAGCCTAGGGAGGGGGTGCGCTCGGCACCGCAGGGCCCCACAGGTGCTGGAGAGGTGAAGTGAGGTGGGGACCAGGTCTGGGTTTATGACTCCATTCGCCTTCCTGGCAGGTAGACTCAGCCTGCAGCCTCCCTGACCGGGCACATTCTAGAACCATCTGGGGCCCTTGTTGCACACGGGTTTCCCCATGTGTGAATCCGAGGCTCCCACATGTCCCTCTTTTCCAGGGGATGCCCAGTTTTCCCGTGCTATGAGATAACCATGCCCTGTACCCCCATCCCTTCATTGTGTCTCCCCTGCCCCCCCCCAGGACTCCCCAGTTGGCGCCCTTGTGTGTGGGTCCTGCACGGCATGTCCTTGTCCAAGTGGCAGGTCCTCTGTCCAGTCACAGGAGCTTGGTCGTGCTGGCCTGGGGTGTCGAGTGGCCTGACAGGACCAAGACGTTTCTGGGCATGCAGCCCCTGGCTGTTACTGCCCCTCTTCTTTTTCTGTTTTTGGTTTCTGGGCCACACCCAGTGATGCTCAGGAATTATTCCTGGCAGTGCTTGGGGGACCCTGTGGGATGCTGGGGATTGAACCTGGGTCAGCCATGTGCAAAGCGCGTGCCCACCCCCACTGAACTTTTTTTTTTCCTTTTTGGGTCATACCCATGATGCACAGGGGTTACTCCTGGCTCCTGCATTCAGGAATTACTCCTGGCAGTGCTCGGAGGACCATATGGGGATGCTGGGAATCGAACCCGGGTTGGCCGCAGTGCAAGGCAAACGCCCTACCCGCTGTGTTATCGCTCCAACTCCTCCCGCTGGACTCTTGCTCCAGTTGGTGCACAGATGGGCCAAGGGGTTCCCGCCACGTCCCCTCCTGGCCATTCATGTCCTTCCTGTGTGCGTCCCCACCCCACCACCTTGAATTTTTGCTTGGAGGCCACACCCAGCAGTGCTCAGGGCTGACTCTAGGCTCTGCACTCGGGGATCATTTCTGGCAGGGACTGGGAGACCCTGTTGTGGGGTGGCCGGTGACCAGTCCCGGTTTGCCCTTTTCCACAGACCTCTCTCCACTCGGGTGCCTTAGTCTTGTGCTGACGAGACTTTGCAGTTCTGGTCCCTGGCACTGTTCCTGGGGGGGGGGGTCCCCGTTGACAACCACTGCGCTAGTGACCATTCTGCAGCTGTCCCTCATGACACCGCTAAACTGTGCGATGGGAACAGTGGGGTCTCTGGGTAGGGGGGGTGTTTACCCCAGAACTAGGGCCTCCAGCTCTCCAGCACCGTGGGGGTCCCTCCCAGCAGGTGTGACCCCCCCCAAAAAAAACAGAGAAGCAGATTGGTCACTAGACAGGGGTCACGGTCTCTCCCGGCCTCCGCCCGGCTCATTTTGCCGACAGCGCGTGGGGGAAGCCCTCTGCGGTCGCCCGCGGGGTCCCGGCCGGCCCCGCTGACCCTCGTCCTGTGCAGGTCTGGGGCGTGCGGCCGGCGGCGCGGCGGCGGGCGAGATCAAGCGGGAGGAGAAGGAGGACGAGGAGAACGGGCTGGCGGCCGAGCCGTCGGAGGAGGAGAAGAAGGACCTGAAGGCGCTGCGGCCCCGGACCAGGTGCCCGCCCCCCCCCCGCGCCCCGCCGCCGCCGCGCGCCCCCGCCCCCCCCGGCCTCACGCTCCGTCTCCCTCTGGCCCGGCCCCCCTCCCGCCCGTAGCCCAGCCGAGGACGAGGACGACCTTGTCCCCGCAGAGCACAAGGCTGAACGGGAGAAGGAGCGCCGGGTGGCCAATAACGCCCGGGAGCGGCTGCGCGTGCGCGACATCAATGAGGCTTTTAAGGAGCTGGGGCGCATGTGCCAGCTGCACCTCAACAGTGAGAAGCCCCAGACCAAACTGCTCATCCTGCACCAGGCCGTGTCGGTCATCCTCAACCTGGAGCAGCAGGTGCGAGGTCAGTGGGGGCGCCGCGCCCTCCCCGCCTCCCCTCCCGCCCCCGCACCCCTGCACCCCGCCGCCCTCTCCTCCGCACCCCGCCCCCACTCTCCCCCGCTGTGACCACCCCCCCCACAAACCTCCCCATCGCTCCCCACTCTCCTCCCCCTCGGGGACCCCCACGCTCTGTGTCCCTGCCTCTGGGCGCCGCCTCCCCCTGAACCCTCCTCTGACCCCTCCCCTCCACTGCTCCCCTTCCTTCACCTCGCCCACCCCAGGGGTCCCGTTCCGGTCGGGGGACATCTGCCCCGCCTCCCCTGCAGACTTGCTTGGCCTCGCTGCTCGGTCCTGACTGCGTCCTGGCTCCGGCGTCATTCCCCCTGCAGGTCCCCCACCCCACCTCTCCCCTCATTCCGCTGCTCCCCCCATCTTCCCCCCCCCCGCCCCCCGCGGCCGTTAACCCTTTCTCTCCTGCAGCTGTCGCTTGGACCCAGCCCGGCCCCGCCCGCTGTCCCCTCAGCTCTGAGGCTTCTGCGTCTCCCCTGGTGGTCCTCGTGCCGCCTCTCTGCTCTCTGCCTCTGCTGTCCCCCCCCTCCCGGCTTCCCAGGCAGCCCCCCCACCTCGCACTTGCTGCCCGAGCACCTGGGCGCCCACCCCCAATGCCCCCGCCGGGGCTTGAGGGCAGGAAGCGGCCCCAGGGCCTGGCCTGACTTGTCAGTTTGGTCTGCGCGCTTGTCCTGGGCTCCAGGGGCCGGCTAGGACCCGAGGGGTGGGGGCCAGCAGCGTGGCCGGGGTGTCCCAGGCATCAGCCAGCTAGGCAGGGGTGCAGGGCTGCAGAGGGCTTGGGCCCCTCAGCTCGGGAGCCTGGTGCTCCCGGGTGGAGGCCCTGGGGGCTGGCCATGCTGCCCGCTGGCAGCCGGGCACTGAGCCAGGTGAGGGTCCCGCGTCGCGCCGACCAGGGTTCCAGCACACAGGCAGCTGTGGGGCTGACAGGGAGGGACAGGCCCAGGGCCGCGGAGCCTCTCACCCGCACCCACACGTCGTTCTGGCACAGGCAGACTGGGGTGCCCTGAAGCCTCCCCAGAGCTGGGACCCTCGTGCTCCACAGCCAGCCCCACACCAGGCTCCCTGGCCTGTCCCGGCCGGGGCGTGCTCATGGAGGCAGGAGGTTATGGCGTGTCCTGGGGGTCTCACTTGCCACTCAGCCCTGGGTCCCCACACACCCCGAATTCCCACAGAACCTGCACCCCCACAGACGCGCACCCCCATACACACCCACAGACCCTCACCCCCATATACACCCACAGACCCTTACCCCATATACACCCGCAGACCCTTACCCCATATACACCCGCAGACCCTTACCCCATATACACCCGCAGACCCTTACCCCATATACACCCGCAGACCCTTACCCCATATACACCCACATGTCCTCACCCCCAAATACACCCACAGGCTCTGCACCCCCATATACACCCACAGACCCTCACCCCCATCTACATCCACACATCCTCACCCCCAAATACACCCACATGCCTTGCACCCTCACATATACCCACAGACCCTCCCCCGCGTATACACCCACAGACCCTCACCCCCATATACACCCAAAGGCCCTCACCCCCGCAAGCCCTCACCCATCCCACATACACGCACAGGCCCCCCACCCCCGTATACACCCACAGACCCTGCAGCTGCATATGCACGCGGTGGCACTGCGCCCCGCAGAGGCCCCGCACCCCCACGCGCAGACCCAGCCCCGTCCCGCGCACGCACGCCCCCGCACCCCACGCACGCGGGCCCCCGCGCACGCAGGCGCCGCCCAGGCCGCCGACTAACACGCGCGCGGCTCTGCGCAGCAGTCCGGAGGAGGCGCTGTCCCTGGAGGAGAAAGACCTGAGGGACCGGGAGAGGCGCATGGCCAATAACGCCCGCGAGCGGGTGCGCGTGCGTGACATTAACGAGGCCTTCCGGGAGCTGGGGCGCATGTGCCAGCTGCACCTCAAGTCGGACAAAGCGCAGACCAAACTGCTCATCCTGCAGCAGGCCGTGCAGGTCATCCTGGGCCTGGAGCAGCAGGTGCGAGGTAGGCCCGGCGCCCCGCGGGGCTCCCCCGCCACGCCCCCCGCCGCCCCCCAGCCCGGCACCCGCCCCGGCCCGCGCGGGCCAGCCCCTCCCACAGTGCTCTCCCCTCTCCCCTAGAGCGGAACCTGAACCCCAAAGCCGCCTGCCTGAAGCGTCGGGAAGAGGAGAAAGTGTCCAGCGTGGTCGGAGACCCCCAGATGGTGCTTTCGGCCGCGCACCCGGGCCTGGGGGAGGCCCACAACCCCGCCGGGCACATGTGAAGGGCGCCCCAGCGGGACCAGCCACCCCGACCTCGGCCCCGCAGCCCAGGCTCAGGGCCTCCCCGCGGGCGGGCGGGCGGGCGGACCGACAGACGGACAGAGAGACGCGACCAGCTCCACCTGGCGCCGGCCCGGAGGGGGCCTCCCGGGCACCCCACCCGGATAAACCCGCAGCTCGCCGGGCCCCAGCCTGAAAGGAGCGTTTTTCAACCTCCTTTTGTTTTTTTTTTTTAATTAATTAAATTTTTTTTTTTTTTATAAACCGGGAAAGCAACTGAAAAATACACTTTGGTTTTTTTGGTCCGAAACGAGAGAAGAAGAAGAAGAAGAAGAAAAAAAATGCCTTAAATCCCCGCGCGTGAGAGCGGGCCCCGCCCGCGCGGAGACGCCGTGCGCGCTGGCCAGCGGCCAGCAGCACCAGCAACCTTGTGCCTCAGCCGAGTATTTTCCTTAAGGAAGAGAACGAAAGAGTTAGACATGGGATTTCTTTTTTTTTTTTTTTTAAACGTAGGAGAAGTAGCAAGGACGATGCCTTCCTTCGATCTCTCTGTCTCTCTCATTTTTTTTTAAAGCTTTCTCTGCCATATGTTTTGTTTTGTAAGCAACAATTGTTTTTTATATAAAAGGCTCCCGTCTCGTTCTTCCTCCTGTTCTTCTTCAGGACCCAGCCTTGCCTTGTCCGCCGCATATTTTGAGTCGAGTTGCAGCAGGGAGGGCGTTTTTGCCTTGCAACCCGAGTTCGATCCCCAGCATTCCATATGGTCCCCCCAGGAGTCATTCTTGAGTGCCTGAGTGCAGAGCCAGGAGTAACCCCTAAGCATCGCTGGTTGTGACCCAAAAAGCAAAAGAAAACAGTTGCATGGAGGCCCAGGGTGCCGGAGCTGTAACTGGCCTCTGGGGGGGAACCCTGCCCCCGCAGTCAGCTGTGTTGCTCTGGCTTGGATCGGGCAGGTCCTTGCTACACCTTGCTACACCAGTGATCCCCCCTACACCTTAAATTTCCCTCTCACCCCTGGCCCAGACGGCTCGTTAGGGATCCTCACACAGCCCCTCCTTCCCTTGAAAGCAGAGGACCTGGGGGGGAAAGCAGTGTTCCTGGCGCGGGGACTCGGCCAGGGAGCCACCCCAGAAACCCCTTTATTGATTGTAAGGACATGCTTGAGGCTTGCCCCTCTCCATGATCCTGCAGTTTGAGTGCTGCAGAAACAGGACTTGAGAAGGTCCTTAGGCGAAGTCTGCACCCTAGAAGCAGAGTCTGTGCCCGGAGGAGCAGCCAATCAAGAGACAGTCTGGGGGTGGGGCCAATCGGGAGGCGGGGTCTGCCCAGAGGCGGGGCCAATCAGGAGGCGGGTCTGCGCCTGGAGGTGGGGCCTGTGTCCAGGGGTGCCACTCTGTGCCCAGAACCAAGCCCTGAACCTGCTTGCTGCTTTCTGGCTGAGTTCCAGCTCACCCTTCCTCCAGGGGGGGACAGCCAAGGATGGTGGCACCTCACCTGGTGCTTGGGCTTCTGTACCCTGTTCTCCCGCAGCCACGTGACCCCCTAGACCGGACCCACGCAGGTCCACCTCGTTCCTAAAGTTCCTGGGTTCTGTTCCCAAAGGCCACTTCGGCTGGCAGAAGGTACAGCCCTGACTGCCCCAGCTTTGCCGGACTGATCTCAAGGGAACCTGCCTCGGTTTCCCTTTATGTGTATGGTCCTTGGGGAGGGGGGCTGCTCAGGGCTCTCCTGGCTCTGTGCTCAGGGGTCATTCCCAATAGTGCTGGTGGGTGGGGGGGTGCTCTCTGTGGAGACGGGACCCAGGTCAGCTCCCTGCAGGATAAGTGCCCTTTCTTCCTGGGTGGTCTTACAAGTTCAGGCTGGAAGGACGCTGAGAGCAGAACTGTCCCATGGGGGATTGAGGGTTGCTGGAGGTGTGAACCCCCAAACCCGGGGAATGTATTTCCAAAAGCACTATTTCTCAGGTCTGAGTAATAATGCGGAGGATAGGGCATTTGCTTTGCAAGTAGCGGAACTGAATTCGATTTCTGGCATCCCATATGGTCCCCAGAGCACAACAGCCAGGAGTAATCATTCCTGAGCACCACTGGCTATACCCTTCCCCACACACACACACACACACACACACTCCTCCCCAGCCAAAAAAAAAAAAAAAAGGAAAGCAACATTTCTCTTGGTGGGGTAAGACTTTACAAGTTTTTTGGTAGTTTTTTTTTTTAGAATTGAATCACTGAGATAGACCCTTATAAAGCTGTTCATGATTAGGTTTCAATGTTCCAACACTTACTCATTATACAACACCAGTGTGTGCATTTCCCAGCACCAATACCAATGTCCCCAGTTCCAAACCACCCCCCCATCATCCTTCACCCCACAGCCTGCCTCTATGGCAGGTACCTCTCTCTCTCTCTCCCCCTTTTTGGCATTGTGGTTTGCAATACAAATACTGAAACTGAAAAGTTTCATATATATATATATATGTATGTGTGTGTATATATATATCCCTTTATCTACTTTTAGCAGGGCTGGAGCGATAGCACAGCGGTAGGGCATTTGCCTTGCATGCGGCCATCCTGGCCGACCCAAGTTCGATTTCTTCGCCCCTCTCGGAGAGCCCGGCAAGCTACTGAGAGTATCTCACCCGCAAGGCAAACCTGGCAAGCTACCCATGACGTATTCGATATGCTAAATACAGTAACAACAAAGTCTCACAATGGAGATGTTACTGGGCCCGTTTGAGCAAATCAATGAACAACAGGAAGACAGTGACAGTGATCTACTTTCAGCACTCAGTTCTTGTCTAGCGTGGTTGATCACGATCACGATCATCCTGTTGTTCGTCGATTGCCTCGAGCAGGCACCAGTAACGTCTCCTTCACCCTAGCCCTGAGATTTTAAAAAGTGCCATATTCAAGGCTCTTTCAGGGTTAGGAGAATGACACCCATCATTGTTACTGGTATTTGGCATATTGGGTACGCCTTGGGGAGTTTGCCAGACTCAGCCTGCCAGGTTGTCCAGCGTGATTATCTCCAACTATTATTGTCATACTGGTCCCTTTTCTATCTTACCTACCCACTACCCCTCATAGACTTGTGGGGGATTCTAACCATTAATCAGTCCTCTTGCTCCCTGGGGACTTTGCACGTTGAGCTTAGGGTGCCTCTGGAGACAACTTGTGACTGCTGACCTGGCCCATGATTCAGTGTAAGGAGGACCCAAGGTTTTGGGGTTGTTGGCACCATAAAGTGCTATGGATTCCCCAGGGATCAAACTGCACTGTGCCACATATCAGAAAAGCAGTTTTTGTTTGTTTTTTAAATTTGCATGATGCTCGGGTCTTACTCCTGGCCCCATGCTCTGGGGACCTTATTAAACCAGGATTGGTCTCATGCAGTAGCCTCCATACTACCGACGGGAAAGCAACTTTTTAGCAGGTGATGTTGGGCCATTGCCGGCAATGCTCAGGCCTTACCTCTAGCTCCGGTCAAGTCCCACTCCTGGCTGAACCCTGCTGACCCTTTGGGGTGCTGGGGATCAAACCATGGGCAAGTGCCTTCGTTGCCACAGAGCTCCTGAACACAGAGAATGGCACTTTAAATTTTAGGGGCACCACCACCAGGGAGATTGGGGGCTACCCTAGTCTCCTGCTTAAGAGGCGGCAAGTGGCAATGTTCGAGGCACTAGCCTTGATTTTTGTGGGAGGTGGTTGGGGCTACACCCAGTTTTGCTCAAGGACCCTTCCTGGTTCTGCATTCAGGGTTCACTTACGGTAGCGCTTGGGGGACCACATGGGGTGCCAAAGATCGAACCCAGGTCAGCCGCGTGCAAAGCAAACTCCTTCCCTGCTGTACTATCGCTCCAGTCCCAAGGGTGCATTATATTACAAGGACTTTACTACCTTTCAAAATGTCTGGGGGAAGAGGTGCAGGGAGGGCGGAGGTGGAGAGATAGATAGTACAGTGGCCAATCTGGGTTCGATCCCCAGCATCCCGTATCCCTGAGTGCACATTCAGGAATCCCCCCTGAGCATCTCCAGGTGTGGCACAAAAAATAAAATTAAGGGGGCCGGAGTGATAGTACAGCAGGGAAGGCGCTAGCTTGCATGCAGTCAGGATTCCATCTCTGACACCCCATTAGAGCTCAGAGTCCGCCAGGAGTGATCCCTGAGCACCGCTAGGTGTGGCCCCAAATCCCACACCAAAAAAAAAAAAAAAAACCACCAAAACCTTAAAGCTCCAGGACAGTAACGGGAGTCTAGAAGCAGATCCCGCCTTCCCGGGCCACGCCCACTCCCGTCCTCCTCCGGGAAGGACTTCCGGAAAGGACCGACTCGAGCTTTCAGGTCTGCGCGCGCAGGCCCGGAGGGGCGGGGCGGAGCGCGTTGGGGGCGGGGCCTCCACGCGCGCCTGCGCGCTGCGGCCCGCGCGCCTGCGCAGTGCGGCCGGGTTGGCGGGGGTCACCCTGAGCTGCAGACGGCCGCCGCGATGATCACCCGGTTTTTGGGGCCGCGATACGCCCAGCTGGCTAAGAACTGGTGAGGACACCGCCCCGCGTTGCCACTTTCTGAACTAGCGCACAGTGGGGTAAACGAGGGGCCAAGGCGGCCGAGCGGTTTGGCGTGTCCGCACAGGGTGGGACGTGGAATTGGCGCGACCCCACGTGGAAGGTCGACGGGGTTGGGGGCTGCCACCGTATCAGGGGTGCCCGGGATTGGGGTAGCCCCCCATCGGAGACAGGCAGAGTCGGGGCGGATCCTCAGGGAAGGCAGGAGAGAGGGGTAACCCCACGTGAGAACCCGGCGGGGTTTAGGTGACCCTACCCGGTGGGTGGCCAAGATGTGACGCGACCCCCACGTGGGGTATGAACACTAGTACTTGGAGAAAGGTATTCGCCTTGCTCTGACCCGGGTTCGGTCCGCGACACCCACCCCATCTGGGGTCCCCTGAGCCCTCCAGGAGTGATCCCAGAGTGCAGAGCCAGAGTCAGCCCTGAGCCCTGCCGGGCGTCCCCTCCCCAACCCCCCCACGCACAAAGGAAAATAAGAACAATATTGGGAAAACGCTCCGTGGAAGGTCGGGGGTATTGGGGTGAGTCTGGTGACTAGGACTAGGACTGGGGTGACCACGCCTGAGCAGTAGGTGCAGTCGGGGTGACCTGCGCC